TTCTTCTTTGTTATTTCTACGCCTGAACTTCAAGCAGAAAACTGCTATCAGGCAAACACTTAACAACAAGAAGCCGACGCACGCTCCAACCACTATGATCATCTTTATGTCCGAAAAGAAACCTCCATTCCCCTTTCGCGTTTCCACCACATCATTGTCCCCTTTCGTTGTAGCTGGAATGTCCCCTGGGAGACCGGAGGGCGGAGTTGCGGGAGTGATGAATTTGACCGAGATTATCAAACGTAGAAAAGCCTCCGTTTCGATGAACCCCGAGTCCGCAGCTCTGATTGTCAAAGTGTAAGCTTCTTCGCTTAGTACCTTTCTGAGTGAGATTTTCCCGTTGCGTTCGTTCATGAGGAATACTCGACGGTTGTTTCCACTAACGATGGAGTATTTCACAAGACCGTTTGATCCAGAATCTCTATCGATCGCTTGTACTTTCAAGATTGTTTCTCCGACGAAAACTGCGTTTGACAGAGTCATGTTATGACTACCTACCATTCCAACAAAAACGGGCGAGTTATCGTTCATGTCACTCACCGTAACGTTCAAAACAATATCCATTTCCACGCTTCCATCTGATAAAACGGCAGTTAATGAGTAAGAACTGTTCGCCTCTCGATCCAACATTCTCGTGGTTGTTAATATCCCCTTCTTTTCGTCTAAAGCAAAGTCGGCGGTATTCGTGACCAATCTTACACGAAGCGGTTTGTCTGGTGCTGCAGAAGTGAGTGAAATCCTTCCAATTTCAACTCCTTCAGGTTTATTTTCTGCCACGCTAAAATTATGGATGTGCTGCGAACATTTAACGACGACTTTTAACACAGTTTTTCCATGTCGAGGTACGCGGCCATCATCTCGAACATCAATGTTCACTGTAAAAGATGGAGTGAATACGCACCATAACTTCACGCGAACAAACACTTGCCCTGTATTATCAATGTCAAACCATTTAGCAAGGTCTTCAACGCTACCATTGCGATCACCTACGCGCACGCTTTCCACACCGTAGGTCAACTCGGAGTTTCTCCCATCATCTTCGTCGGTCGCTGTCGTCCTCGCGATAACCTCGCCTGGTGTGACGTCATCACCGATGTTCAGGTCGTAAACCTTCCGAGTGAATCTCGGAGCGTGCCTGTTGCTGTCGGCTAGCTTGACAGGTAGTATGTAGCTGTTCCTTTGTGACAGTGGCTTACCTTGATCTTCAGCCACGATTTTGATCTTGTACTGCGCACGTCGGTCTAGACTCAGTGATTGCCGTATTTTGAGGACATATTTGCCTGCGGACATCTCCTGTAACCTGAAATCTTGCTTGTGATGCTGTAGAGTGACCGTGACAAGGCCACTGGGTCCGCTGTCCTTATCGTGCACCGTTACCGAAGCAACGCCAGTATTGAGGTTGCTATCCTCGGGAATCTTACCCTGCTTGTCGAACGTGTTTGAGAGCAAAATCACGGTGATTTCTGGTTTGTTGTCGTTCTCATCAAGAACCTGAAAGCAATTTGAAAAGATCTGTTCTTTTAATACCTACACAAAAAGGTTAAGACTGCTTCCCAGGATCATCACTTTATAGCCCCTCTTTGGGTGGTCATTGAATCCATCCCCGGAAATATCTGTTGGAAGCGTCACGAAGCAGATTTTGTTTCACAACAGCGTAGACTTTGTGAAGTATATATGAAATAATTCATATTTGAACTGCGGTTGTAGATGAAAGTGAAGAATGATCATCGCAGTAAATTTTCCAATTTAAGAAATTGGAAAGAAGAAGCCTGATTTTTTTCAGGCTTCTTCTTCCCACTTGCTTAAATTGGAAAATTTACTGCGATGATCATTCTTCACTTTCAGCGTAGACTTTATTGGATATCCTCGTCAGGCTTAGAGGTTTTCTAAGTCTTCCCAAAGGCTTCAAGATGTTACAAGTTTTTAACCAGTGAAGTTGACACAACTTGCACTCATATTTATGACAGAGAAACCTAATTTACTAAAACTAACTAAATCAAATATCTTTGTTATGCATGAAAAGTAACTTCAGCTAATCGAGTTGCCCAAAATAAGAGATTTCATCATCGTATCTCGGTATGTTTACTTGTGCAAAAATTCCTATTCCGAGAGATTTCTATGCAAAGGAAAGAAAGTAAACAGACAGAAAGCTAACTATGATCTTGGTGTAGGTCCTGATGAAAAGTGAATTGAGTTTAAGACTGAACGCGAGCATGGAAATTTGAGTTTAAACTCACGGATTGAGAACAAAGGACCTCGAAGGTGTTAGAAATGTAGAGGTCAGCAAGATTTTAATGACTTTCAGAAAACTCCTCATTATGCATAAATGTGTGACCTCGATACAACCTAAAGTAAATTTTTACCTTTAAGGATATTGTTTCTCAGGAGGCACGTCAGCTGAAATCAATGACGTTTTTGGATGTAATGTTGACTAATGTTTGTTTCCTAAATGAAAGTAACGTAAATACCAACCGAAATACAGTTCGTTGAAGTTTGGTTGTTTGTCCTGATACACAGATTAAAGTAAACCTCAATAACGATGGAAGAAATACGTGTTTCGTTTCTCAGAGTTAACTAAACTTAAAACAATCCAAATTCCAGAACACTGATATGTTCTAACATGGTTCTGGTGCTGTAAAATCTTTTGTAAGCCAAAACAGACGGTAACACATAAAGAAAAGCTGTTAAAGTACACTCAGCTACGATAAACACACAAAATTCTCATAGATAGTCTAGATAGGAGCATACAGAGTAAATATCATCAATTATCTAAAAGTAAATAAACCACAAACGATTTCCGTCAAAGCTGTTAGCATCTTTTCCGATGTTTTCTTTTCGTTTAACCTTTGATTGTCGGTTCAAATAACATAGAACGGAGCTCTGAACTTTTCTTAAAATAACATATTTCTTTTCTACTACGCACGCAAGTTTGTATTCTATTTTCAAAGGCGAGCAAAAATTAGCAGTTTACTGGAGCAGCAAAATCGGCCTGGAAAAAATCGCTAGGTCTCATGCTTCATCAAATTCACAGCCCAAATTTTTAACGTTTATCTTTCGTAATGCGTCTCAGTCTTCCCCAAGCGCATCTTTTTTCCTTTTTGGTTTCTATTTACTTCGTTTCTGTTTTTCTACTTCAGATAGCTTTTATTTTAGACAACCTTGACTTGAAGATAGTTTTGCTGAACACAGAAAAAAAATACTATACATTAATGTTGGTAGACAATTCAGCAATTCGTTGTATGGCTGTACATGTCTACGTTTCTCTCTCCCAAAATACGTAAACTGATTTCCAGTTGATGCACATGTTTTCTTTTATTCTCTTTTCAGGGAAAAAGCTCGCTACCCAAACTTTGACAATTTGAAATTGTCAAGACGGCTTTTATTTCACTTTTGTTTTTCATATACCTACTTCATTCACGAGCAATTCCGTTGAATAATGGATCCACCTCGGTCATGGTCACATATCAATTTGCAAACTTGCGCCAAGCTTTTGTGTTTAGTGACAAACTTGTTCTGAACACGCCTCAAACAATTTCTAAACAAATTAGACATCACAAAACGAGTATATTTTACAACGCATTTAGCCTTTTTTTTCGGGTTGAATTCCCAGGAGTGNAAAAAGCTCGCTACCCAAACTTTGACAATTTGAAATTGTCAAGACGGCTTTTATTTCACTTTTGTTTTTCCTATACCTACTTCATTCACGAGCAATTCCGTTCAATAATGGACCCACCTCGGTCATGATCACATATCAATTTGCAAACTTGCGCCAAGCTGTTGTTTTTAGTGACAAACTTGTTCTGAACACGCCTCAAACAATTTCTAAACAAATTAGACATCACAAAAGGAGTATATTTTACAACGCATTTAGCCTTTTTTTTCGGGTTGAATTCCCAGGAGTGTTGCTTGCAGTTAAAATAAATGCGTCGCCATTAGTATTGTTGAAACAGAATTTCCTTTGACCATTTATCACCTGATAATGGTAAATGTCATTGCAGTTTCCTTCAATACATTGTCATTTTTGAGCAACTAAAGACGTTTTTAAGGCTTGTGTGATTTTTAACATATACAGACCATTTTGAAAAACTTCCGAAACATTTTTACACGCTACGAATTTAGAACTAGTTTTATTTATTTCACTGTTTTGCCAAGTCACGCTTCAGATATTTTCGTCACCGAACAAACATGTTCAAAAAACAGAAAAGAAAAGAAAATGCAAAATAATGAAACGGAAATGGGTTTTACTGCAACCCCTAACCATATATGCAAAATAAAAGAAACACGTACACAACTTTTGTATGTTCCAAAAATAATTTTAATTGTAGCTCTTGAAATAGCGTTCTTTCTCTTTCAAACCATCTTTCAAGATTTCCACCGTTCTCGACTTGAAGTTTGCAAGAACAAAAGCAGTAACAGCAGTTGTTTGCTAACCTTAAAATAGCTTGATCACCTATCGAAGTAGGCACCGAAAATGACAGTGGGCATACATGGCGAGGCGGTTCGTCTCGTGGTTCTGGTTAGCAATATATTGAACGACACCTTTTATAAATCGGAAACTTTAGGCCTTTTAGGCTGCGCCCTGAAAGATGATTTCAACGGTTGCTTTGGAATCGTTAAAATATGCCACCGCCAAAAATAAGGGCATGTATCGGCCTCATAATGTAACCTCCGGTTTTAAGTTGGGTTTTGTGCCTTTGATTATCCAGAAAAACTTTCGACAGTCCGAGAAAAGTTGACTACATATTCTTGCCTCACAGTTGTCGCGTATACATACAACCATTAGAGATATAAACACGTCTGGTTCATCATTCTTTGATGTTTGCCCACCCTATTCAGGAGAAAGTTCTTTACTACATTGAACGATTTTCTGGAACCTTTTTTCTCTTAGGAATGACAAGGCGTTTTGGCTTATAAAAATAAGATTCTCAAAACAATAAATTTTCATAAACTAGAATAAAAATTTGAGGCCAATGTCGACTTGCAAGGAAAATCTACCACGCAAGCAAGAACCCTCCTGTATCCAAGAGGTGAAAAGAAACACAGCACTTGCGGCCAGTTGATTCCACTATATACAGTGTATATCGTCAAATGCTGCACTTTTACTTGAATTGAACTTGAGTGTTTTTGTTTCACCGT